TCTAGGAAGCTTTGTCTGCGCGCGATAAATCCTAAGACAGCAGTCTACATTGGTGTTGCATATTTCTTAACCCTAAGATGGTAGCATGCATTACTGCTGCATATTTCTTAACCCTAAGACGACAACCTACATTGCTGCTGCATATTTCTTAACCCTAAGACGACAACCTGCATTGTTGTTGCCTTTTTCTTAACCCTAAGACGGCAGCCTACATTGCTGCTGCATTTTTCTTAATCCTAAGACGACAGCCTGCATTGCTGCTGCATTTTTCTTGTTCCTAAGACGACAGTCTGCATTGTTGTTGCATCGCACCTTTTTGCTATAATGTCAAGGGAAGAGGAGATAGAAAGGGTGAAAACAGTTCTTAGTAAGCTGGAAAAACCTACAGGTATGTGTTCTTTGACATACTCAGGTAAGTTTCCACCTTCTTTTGGATTAAATGTCTCAAATACGCCTTTTAACCATTATTGGATATTGGACTCTGGAGCCACAGATCACATTACACCATTAACTAAACACTTCTCCATATATTCCCTATGTCCCAGCAACAAGAAAATTGCCACAGCAGATGGAACCCTATAACTGCAGCTGGTCAAGAAAATATCCAAATCAATCCTTTAATAATCTTAAAAGATGTTCTCCATGTCGCAAAAGTTGTCCACGAACCTAGTGTCTATACAAAAACTTATAAAAGATTTGTCATGTAAAGTTGTTTTTTTCAATGATCATTGTGTATTTCAGGACAAGGATTCGGGGAGGATGATTGGACATGCTAGAGAATGGAATGACCCTTTATTATCTCGAATATCCAAGTTTGCCCAGCAAGAATAGAATCTCTCACTCCTTCATATCTGAATCCTTGATGACCAACAGAGAAAAAATCATGCTTTATCATTGTCAGTTGGGACATCCCTCTTTTGGAGTGATCAAAATTATATTTCCCTCTCTGTTTACCAAGTTAGATGTTGAGAGTCTTCATTGTGAGGTGTGTGAATTTGCTAAGCACAAACGTATATCTTTTCCAATAAGTAATAGAATTAGCAATTTCCCTTTTTATCTTGTTCATACTGATGTATGGGGACCTTCTAATATTCCAAATGTGTCTGGTACTCGATGGTTTGTCACCTTTATAGATGACTGTACAAGGGTCACTTGGGTTTTCCTACTTAAACTACAATCAGAAGTCAGTTCTGTCTTTCTAAACTTCCACTCCATGATAAAAAATCAGTTTGGTCTTAATATGAAGAGGCTTAGGTAAGATAATGCCAAAGATTACTTCAATCATGTCCTTAATTCTTTTTGTAAAAAAGAAGGTATAATTCATGAGTCCTCTTGTGTCAAAACACCACAACAGAATGAGGTCGCAGAGAGGAAAAATAGACATCTATTAAATCAGACTCGGGCATTGTTGTTCCAAAAAAGTGTCCCAAAAAATTTCTGGGGGAAGCTGTTCTTACAACAACATAACTTATCAATAGACTACCCTCTAGAGTCTTAGGATAAAAAAACCCTATGGAAATTTTATCGTCTTTCTATCCAAACTTGTCTACTACAAATAATCTTAAACCAAGAGTTTTTGGGTGCATCTCATATGTCCATATTCATAGTACAGACAGGGGGAAACTTGATCCTAGAGCCTTAAAGTGTGTCTTTGTTGGTTACTCACCCACTCAAAAAGGGTATAAATGCTACCACCTTCGATCCAAAAAATTCTTTGTGTCTAGGGATGTTACCTTCAATGAACAAGAGGACTATTTCCATCAACCTTATCTTCAGGGGGAGAGTTTCAGGGAAGATAAGGAAAATAGTAATTCTGGTTTTCCCATTCTTCCAAACTTGACATTTGAACCTAAACGAAATCATATTGAAAATAGTAATTCTGGTTTTTCCATTCTTCCAGACTTGACATTTGAACCTAAACGAAATCATATTGAAAGTAGTAATTCTGGTTTTCCCATTCTTCCAGACTTAATATTTGAACCTAAACGAGATCAAATTGAAGATCAAATTGAAATTGTAACAAATGAAACAAGTCAAGGAATTGGTCAAGAAAAGGAAGTTGGTCAAGAAAGTGAAATTAATTGTGAAACTGATCAAGAAGATGTTGAAGCTGAAAAATTTGGTAAGAAGCTGGTGTATTCAAGGAAGACTAAGGTCATTCCAGGATCAAGCCATGTTCAAGAATCCAACTCGACTCCACAAAAAGAGGTAACAATTTTTTCTCCAGCTGTGCAGGTTGAAATTGAAACCCAAAATGATCCTGACCTCCCAATTTCCATTAGAAAAAGAACAAGAAAATGCACTAAACAGCCACTCTACCCTCTCTCAAATTACCTGTCCTTTAAAAATTTCTCTCCTACCCATAAAACCTTCCTAGTAAACCTAAACACTGTACTTCTACCTAATACCCTATCTGAGGCATTGTCTGACAGAAAATGGAGGCAAGCCATGGATGTAGAGATGGAGGCATTGGAGAAGAACAACACCTGGGAGTTAGTCACCTTACCAATAGGAGAGAGGCCAGTTGGATGTAAATGGGTCTATACAGTGAAATACAAGGTTGATGGATCAATTGAGAGATATAAGGCAAGACTAGTTGCCAAAGGGTTCACCCAAACCTATGAAGTTGATTATTTGGAGACCTTTGCTCCGGTTGCCAAAATGAACACACTTAGGGTGATATTGTCCCTTGCTGCTAATTATGGTTGGAACTTGGAACAATTTGATGTTAAGAATGCTTTCCTACATGGAGACCTTGAAGAAGAAATCTATATGGAGATACCTCCGGGATATGGTAAAGATGTTGCTGCCAACACTGTTTGCAAGTTGAAAAAGGCATTATATGGGTTAAAACAGTCCCCCCGTGCATGGTTTGACAGGTTTACTAAAGTTATAACAGGTATGGGTTACAAACAAAGTCAAGGGGACCATACTTTGTTTTTTAAACATTCCAAGTCAGGGGGAGTAACAATATTATTGGTGTATGTGGATGACATAATATTAACTGGAGATAATAAAGAAGAGCAGCAATTATTGAGTCAATGCTTATGCAAGGAATTTGAGATCAAGACCTTAGGAAAACTAAAATATTTTTTGGGAATTGAAGTTGCCCACTCCGAGAAAGGGATATTTATATCTCAGCAAAAATACATCACTGATTTGCTCAAGGAAACTGGCAAGGCAGCTTACAAACCTGCTAGTACCCCATTAGAACCAAACCTAAAGCTTGGAAATGCAGAAGATGTTGTTGTTGAAAAAGATATGTACCAAAGATTAGTGGGCAGACTTATATATTTGTCGCATACCAGACCAGATATTGCCTATGCAGTGAGTTTAATTAGCCAATCTATGCATAGTCCAAAGGAGACCCATTTACAAGCTGCCCACAGAATTTTACAGTACCTTAAAGGAACTTCAGGAAGAGGGATTCTATTCAAAAGGAATGGTAATGTGAAGCTTGAAGCCTATACTGATGTTGATTATGCAAGGTCAATTGTGGATAGGAGGTCAACTACAGGATATTGCACCTTTCTTGGAGGAAATCTTATGACTTGGAGAAGCAAAAAACAGGGTGTAGTGGCTCGGTCCAGTGCCGAAGCAGAATTCTGAGCCATGGCACAAGGTATATGTGAGTTGCTATGACTTAAAATCATCTTAGAAGACTTGAGGATAAAGTGGGAAGAACCTATGAAACTCTATTGTGATAATAAGTCAACAATCAGTATAGCCCACAACCCAGTGCAGCATGATAGAACAAAGCATATTGAAGTAGACAGACACTTCATCAAAGAAAAGCTTGATAATGGCTTGATATGCACTCCATATGTGTCCTCTCAATACCAAATTGCAGACATTCTTACCAAGGGACTAGGCTGCCATAATTTTGAGAAGATTGTATCCAAGCTGGGAATGAAAAACATTTATTCACCAGCTTGAGGGGGAGTGTGAGAAATCAAATAGTATTTTAGGAAAGAATAAATCAGGAAATTTATATATTTTCTTATAATCTGTACAGATTTGAATAATTAAGAACAATCCCATAAATCAAAGGATCCTAGCATAAAATAGAGTTATTATATTTCCTAAAATAGCTTAGGTCTCCTATATATATCTTATATCATCTCTTTGTATTCATATAATAAAAATCATATTTCAATTAATTTAATTTTCCAGACTTATATTAACTCTATCTTCATCAATTTATTTTCATTCATCTCTCCATCAAACTCATGTTTAATGAAAGTTTAAAGGTGAACAAATATCAACATACCTTTAATTGAATAAGTAAAGGATGAGATTGCATTTTTTTTAATAATAAAAAAATAGCTTCCACATGTATAATATATTTTTAATTAGAAATCAAGAAGGGAGGCTTTAATTCGTTATGAAATTATTAAAGTAAAACAGTTTGATATTTCACACCAATGTCATGGTGATAAAGCAATGGAATTAGAAAGAGGCAACTAAATACATTCTGGTAGTTTCTTTTTCTTTCTAGAATCTGATGAACCTTATTGGCTAACCTTTCTCTCAACAATCGAATTCACTTATAGTTGAAGCCTCATCTTAACCGAAGCTCCACCACTTTCATACATTTTGAGTATAGGAACCATATAAAGAACAAAAACCAGGATTCAACCAACTTACTTGGGAGAACCCTGAAAATAAAGGTTTCCAAAACCATAAATCATGAAAGAATTACCCATCCAGAAACCAGACGACAAATTTTGTAGCATTGCCATTCCATTGACATGTCTCCAAAATTGAAATGTGGCTATAATAATTTGACTGAAGAATGTAGCATGCAAATGTGGAAATCAAGACGGTATGATCTTCCAGATGGAGTTGCCACAAAAATTTAGCATTTTATTTGAATCACATCTGTAGTACTCAACAAGGGGCCATTATGATGCTAAGCCACAGGCCACCAAAAATGTTCCACAAATAAAGAATAGCACCAATGGCTGCTATACTATATGTTAGTACCAACCATGTAGTTTTTAAGGAGCTCTGTCAAAGGGTTGTGTATCATTGTAACAGACATCCCACACAGCTTCCATGGAATCCTTGGCAGCATAACCAGCGCAATTGGGGTTTGCAGACAAAGATTTCAAAACTTCTCTTCTCACACATTCCTTCAAGAACCATTACATTGATTCAGGAATTGAACAAATAACAGCTCAACAAAGTCTAAAAAATCAAATCAAATATACTAAAGCAAAGAGAGAATGCATGAGAACAGCAACTGAATAACAACAGATGTAATTTGAAGGAAAACATAAAATTGTACCTGACAGAAGTCAAATGGGTGTATAAATATAAACTCAATCATGTATAAGTCTTTTAACGAAAAAGTGTGCTTAACTATGCTTATTAACGGCAGACAGGCTAGTGGCCCCCACCAAAGAACATGCATTATGCTTCCACAAGTAGGTTATGCTTACACAAGTTTTTTCTTATTGAACTCAGTCCATGGTTTTACTATTTTCTAATCAGACAATCATATTTTGAAAAAGAAACCCTTCCAACTATATATCATTTGTGTAAATCACCCTTGTTCTGGACTGGGCTAAAGGTCCAATTCATCTAACAAGGCATCTTGGCCCAAATGAAGGATTATCCCACTTGTTAGGTGTTGACCGAAGTTAATGTCATCTCCTAGGAGCAATATTACTATAATACACTTAGGGTAATGATAGTCCTGGAATAAGGTGATAATGTCTAAGGTTAAGAACTTTACCATTATTTACAGCTCAAAGGTCACTATTGTTTTGAATAACACAGCACACAATCTTCAGAAATAGTAAGCTTGGACAAACTTCTTTCAGTTTTTCTTCTTATTTTTTTCTCCTATAAGTCTTTATGGAGAAGTTTGTCCAAACAGGCCATAGTATAAAGCAACATAAACAAAGTGATTATTTCATGTAATTTTCACATAAACATCATAAATGGATATATTAAAAAAGAAAAAAAGAAATGAGTTGACCAATCCTCAGTTTGACTTCATCAATAATTAAAACTAAGAACAAAGAAAAATATGCTTCAGTTTGCACTGAGAAATGCAATATAAAATGGTTGAGTGTTTCATTTTCTAAGTATGTACTCTAAATTTTTTTATTTTAAACTTATGCATGGCCATTCAGGAGGATGGGGAGTAGAGATTTAGCAACATGTGCTGGAATCCAACAAAATTGGAAATACCACCATGTCATTATGATGTGGCAGGGAAAAGAGCAAAAGCCACAACTTTCCATAAATTTTCCTCTCAAGTCTTCCTTCACCAATGCTTAATGTACATCAGTAGACTATATAAGAATGGTTAAGCTATAGTAAAGCACACTACCAACAAGATAAACCACCACCTTATAATCATACAACTCCGAACCTTCAAACTTACCTTTGATCCACATTGAAGTAAAATCCATTTTTCAAGTACCTAGGGTTAATACTAGAAACTATATGTCCTTCCTCAAGTTTAATGTTAAACCAGTCCTTCTGGTTGTTACCTCCTTATACCTTAAATTTGATATTTCCTCTGATCTCATGGTGTGAACCAAACATTTGAATCATGTCAGCAATGTATGGCTCCTAAGTACAAACTGCAGAGTATTTGCTAACGTGGATTTGGGATGACAAGCATACAAGACAAAGTTTAATCCAATCTGAAATTTAAGATAACTCTAGAATTATTATTCTCTGATGACAACGTCATTAACTAACCATCACAAAACAATACTATGGGTAGAAGAATGAGAATATGGAAAAAAGATAGGTACTCTCTACTCGTTATTTGTATTCTATATTCCTCCAATCAGCTTCAAATTTGCACTAATCTCTGGCAAACATGCAAAATTCTAGTTGCCACTCTTAGAGAATTATGCCAAGTATTGAAAATTTTCACATGGATGACTTCAATTGGTCTGTGATTTTTGGGCTTTCAATCTTGATCCTATAACCCACATCTCAGTCCAGATCAAATCATATCTGACATACGTATCAGTCAAGCACGATATACCAAATCTAATCAGGGCTCTACAGCTCTAGAAAACCTTCAATCATAAGGGGGTTCAACTAAAAGGAGGGGTGGTCATGCATGGATTGCCCGAGTAATTTAGATATCAACAAGCATCAGGATTTGCTTTTCCTTGTCGTAATCTTTTAACAATGCACTAATTTCTTACATAGGGTGACTTTTCTTTGATGATTAGTTTCAAAACATGCAAGTGCAATAGCTAGTTCTTTTAATACTGTATTATCCTAATCCTCCACGTGTACATGCAAGAAACCAGATGAGTAGCAAAAAGCTGTGGGATGCCTGATATTACCAATCCATGTCTCGAATAGCAATTTTAAACTTTTCAGATGAGAATAATGCTTAAGTGCAAGGACAAATTTAGTTAAACTTAATACTTTCTCTTTCTCCAATTGATAATTAGATACTGTAAATTTTAAAATTAACCATGCAAAGATACTAAGTTTAATCTAAGAAAAGAATCAACTAAAATAAATGGGTTGCATTAATTAAGGAGGGAAATAAAAAAAAATGTTTACCTGTTCATGCCCTCGTAGTTTCAAAAAACCTCGTAGTAGTTCCCGTTTATAGTGACAATTACCACTTAGGTGATTAGTTCGTATCTGTTTCACAATATCATAAAGAAATATTAAGTAGGGGGGTAAAATGTTGTGAAAAAACAACATAATCCTGATAGGAACACACTGTCAGATAGGAACCTCAGTACAAGCATGGTGAGCACAATCAGACCAATCCAAGTTGGCAGCACGACAGTCATCAAACGCATGAATTAACTCACGAATTACCACCTGGTCAACTTCGTATTGCTTTCGTACATAGTTACTGCACACTTTTACCTGGGACAAAGACACACCAACATAGAAGGAAATGAATACTAGCCAATTGCAAACCTTATCATCCAGCCAAAGTATAAGTAATGATCACAATACTAATTCAACCACAAAACAAGGAGCAGTAATAGAATTGAGGGCTTAGTTTCTTCATGAAAAAAAAAGTTCGACCAGCTTCTTAATTGTACATGTAAAAGCATAATTCCAACTTTCCAGCATAACAGAAGGCTAAACATAATTAACACATAAAATTCCCATTAAAGCACAATAACAATTAACTTGTATGAAAAGAACAACATGAGAAGTAAATGAACAATGAAGTAAGTACCCCTTCACGACGAACATAAGAACCAGCCACTTGCTGGTCGCAAGTAACAGCTTTGAAAAAATTGTCTCCTATACCACACCCAGCTTTCTCCAAACGTTCCCTCAAAAACCTCACCATTGGAGCTGTCAAAGAAAGTTGACAAGAGCCACCAATTAACATAAAAAAAAAAAATTATAATTCTAAACAGAGATTCCTTAGATTTTTCTTTATAAAGCAAAACAAACACTGAAAAGTCTAAAAACCCAATTCTAAAAATAGCTTTCAGAGAGCACTGGAACAAACCAATAAAAATACTGCGAATCAGAACAAAGCCCATAAATTTAAGTTCCTCTTCTCTCCTATCACTGATTGCTCAGAGGAAAAAAAAAACACTTTCAATAGACGAAACTTGAAAGTTCACATTTTTTTGCAAAAATGTCGAGGACCCAATTGAAGATAAACTTCAACAGTGAGAAACAGGGGATGGGACGTTAGAAAACTAGAGAGAAGGAAAGAGGGGTTCGATAAAACCCTAAATCCTAAACTTTGTCAAGGTATGTAAGATTGTCAATGGGAGTAAGGTAAGAAAGAAAACGTAGAAGGAGATTTGACGTACTTCGGAAACTCTTTTGAATCATGTTTTGGCATTCTTCCTCAGATATAGGTTTCTTCGCCATTGCTTAGTTTTTCGGTTGCACAGCCTCAAGTACGATAAACTTGGTGTTGTGACAGAGGAAGCAAGGTGCAGTCTTTTTTTGGTTTGAAGAAGCGGAGTAGAATTCTCTTTATGTAAAAAAACAGATAGTCTATTTTAAATTACAAAATTATATAAATATTATTTAGAAATTAAAATAATATTTTTATATTTTTTTAAATTTAAGTTGATCAAGTTTTAGGGTTTTAAAAGATGATTTAATTTATTATTATTTAATAAACTTTGAATTTTATATAAATGCCTAACTTAAAAAAAAAACTAAAACATTTAGATTTCTGAAAAAGAATACACAAATAAAAAAATTCGTTGATAGAACATGATCCAAATAACTGTGAAGACAAATTTTAAAAATAAACACATTTATTCATGTATTATTTATTAATATTTATAATTATATCTATTTTCACTACCACTCTTTAATTATAGAAAAAAAAATCTGAAACCATTCACTATATAAAGATAACATATTTTATTTTAAATTATTTTTAGTTACTCTTCTCTAAAATAACTCTTAACCCACAAAAATTAAAATTTACATAAAAAAAAATAACCTCTTTGAAAAAACTATAAGCAAAATTCATTATAATTATAAATAATAAAATATATTAAAGTTTAAAATAAAATGAAAAAACAATTTGCAGTGAAAAATTATAACATATATATTATTATGATAATATATAATAGTTAAAAAATGCAATGTAATATAAAATATTCAAATAATAAGTTTAAAATAAATTAATTATTATATATCATTATCACCCTCTTATGATAATAATATATAATAGTTAAAAACGTCACTATTAAGGGTTTGAATTTGAATTATAATATTAATAAATTCATAATTTATCAATTAGTTAATATTTTTAATAATGAATATAAATTAAATATAATTATTTATAAGAAAAAAATCTAATTATGAATGTAATCAACCACTTGAAAAATAGGTTTTTTAATCGATTAAAAATATTTTAATTTTATTGATATGGTCAAAATTGATTAATTAGGGTTAAATTGTGTTACGTGACACGATTTTAAATAAAAAAAATTGTGTGACGTAAAATGATTTCGTGATAAAAAAATTTAAAATCGTGTTTTCTATAAAATTAAATTGTAGTACGACTTTAGTTATATTACTATTATATAGTACGACTTTAGTTTTTATTTTTTTAAATAATTAAATTAATTTTATTAAATAAATATATTATTTTAAAACTAATAATTTATTTATTATTATATATTTATATTATAAAATATTATATTAATTATTTTTTTATTTATATTAATTATTGTTTTATATAATTTTTATAAATAATAGAAATAGAAAAAAATATTTTAAATAAAAAAATAAATATATTAATAAATTTAAATTAAATTAAATTATTTATTTCAAAATTAATAATAAATATTATTTAGATAAATATATTGTTTAAAAAATTGATATAAAATAAACAATTGATATAATATTTTAAACAAATATATCATTTAAAATATATATTATTTAATTTTATAATAATAATACTATTGTATATATATTACCTTTATTATTTATATACTACTTATACAAAGTTTATATAAAATAATAATTAATATAAATAAATGAATAAATAATTAATTAATATAAAATAATAATTAATATAAATAAATGAATAAATAATTAATTAATATAATCTTTTATAACTTCTAAAATATATATAAAAATATATTTATATAAAAAATAAATAAATTATATTTTTTTAAATGATATATTTATCTCAAAAACTTAATTTAATTATAAAAACACTATAAAAATATATATTATTAATTTTTAAATAAATAATATAACATAATTTAAATTTTAAAAAAATGTATCAATATATTTTATTTTATTTAAAATGTTTTTTCTATAATTATTTATAGAAATTTTATATAAAATAATAATTAATATAAATAAAATAAATAATTAATATAATATTTATAATATAAGTATATAATAATAAATAAATTATTAAATTTTAAATAATATATTTATTTAATAAAATTAATTTAATTATTTAAAAAAACAAAACCAAAAAAGTACGACTTTAATTATGTACGACTATCGTACCATAGTAGTACGACTTTAGTTTTATAAAAAAAAAATTACGTTAAATTTATTACAGAAAGCACGATTTTAGATTTTTTATCATGAAATCGTTTTACGTTACACGATTTCTTGTTTTAAAATCGTCTAATGTAATACGATTTAACCCTATTTGGTAAATTTTAAAAAATTTGATCCATATCAGTAAAATTTAAATATTTTTAAACCACTTTGATGAAAAAGCCTGAAAAATAAGTGAGATTTACATACACTTTCACGGTAAAAAATAAAAATGAATTAAAAAAAAAAACACGATGGAAAAAACATGATATTAGAAAGTTTAATAATGTTTCATACGTATGAGGAAAAAAAACAAGACTTATTATTGTTATAAGTGTTTTTTTCTTATTTTATATTAGAATTATTTGTTAGATTAATTTTAACAAAAGGTGGAAATGCAAGACAACTGTGTCAATGAAGCAGTGACATTACATTTTATTTATCAATAAAAAACGGCTATATAGAATTGCATATAGTGAAATAAACTTACTCAATCACATATATTATTGGAACTGTCCTACATATTAGGAGCGAATTCTGCACCCGTATTAACAAATATCTAATAAATAATAAATTGAAGAAAACTTGAAAATCCCTCTTTTAAATTAATGCATCATACTAGTTATTCGAGTCATAGTCTAAAGTCTTTTAAATTAAGTTTCAAAGAAAATAAAATCTAACGTCGATATGTTTGTTTTTCTCATAAAACATTGGGTGTTTGGATAACTTTATTGTAGATAATAAAGTTCAATTTGTTCTAGCAATTTGCTCAGCCAAACGCACTAACAAACATATAGAGTTGTTGTCATATATTTCATCTGTGTTGTGGACATAACTATCACATTTTGTTTTGTTTATTGGATGTCCAAGAAATCGCTACTATCCCTAGCATAAACACATATCAAGAAGTTTTTTTTTTCTATCATCCAAGTCTCTCTAACATAGTCACTATCCGAAAATGCTAGTAATCTTAAACTGCTGGTTCCCATCTTATACCAGATTCCAAAACTGGTTACCTTTAATATACCACAAATCCATTTTACTGCCAGCCAATGTGTTGCAGTAGGATTAGTCATGAATTTATTGAGTAAACTCAATGTGTACATCAGATCAGGTCTGATAGAAGTTAAATAAATCAAACTCCCAACTAATTGTTTAAACCCAGTCTCTTCAACATCTCGTTCCCTATATTCTTTGACAACTGAGTCCTTGGCACCATGGAATTCTTCACAACATTGTTATCCTGCATTCCAAAATAGGATAAAATTTCTTGTGCATATCTGCTTTGACAAACAAAGATTTCAGTCGAATATTGTTTAACCTCAATGTCAAGAAAGTGACTAATTATTCCCAAATCAGACATGTGAAAATGAGCCATCATGGATTGCTTAAACTCCTCACACAAAATTCAATCATTCACAGTGAATATCAAATCATCAACATATAAACAGACAATTAATATTTTACATCCTTGTGATCGAATGAACAATGTAAGTTCATCGGAACATTTCTCAAACTGTTCTCGTGCAGAGTAGGTCTTAATTTTGTGATACCAAACCCAAGGTGCCTGTTTGAGGCCATACAATATTTTCTTCAATCGATATACCTTCTCTTCTTCCCCTTTCTTAATAAAACCTTCAAGTTGTAAGACAAAGACATCTTCTTTAAGTTTTGCATGAAGAAGGCACTCTTGACATCAAGTTGAAACACATTCCAACTAAATTGAGCAATAGTAGCCAAAATCAATCTAGTGGTATCCAATCTAGCAACTAGAGCAGAAACTTCTGTGTAGTCAATTCCATGTCTTTGTGCATACCTCTTTGCTACAAGCCTTGCCTTGTGCTTTTCTACTTCCCCTTCAATATTTAGTTTGGTTTAGAAAACTCATTTGACTCCAATCGGTGTAACTCCATCTGGTAGTAACATGAGCTCCCATGTATGATTTTCTCTATTAGCTTTTATTTCTTTAACCATGACTTCTCCCAAATCTTTACTCCCTGCGGCTTTTTCAAATGATACAAGGTCATTCTCGATAATTAGCATTACTGCCAAATTTTCTTTTTTTGATAGCCCTGCACCCATATATAGTCTGCCAACCACCTTCGTGCGCTCCTTGTTCGTGCACCCCTCCCTTGAGATGAACCTAGTGAAATATTGTCCAGACTTGTGTTGCTCCATATATCACCTTGAGGTGAACCTAGTGCACCAGCTGTTGTTGCTGCAGTATCATTTGTATCTTCATATATCACCTTTTCTCCTCCTCAAAGATTCGTCTCTACTAATAATCAAAGTTTTTGCAACTGGATCATATAACCTCCATGCTTTAGACTCATCACTGACTTCTAGAAAAATGCATTTTTTGCTTTTGTCATCCAACTTTACTCTCTTCTAGTATGGGACATGTGCATGAGCCACACACCCAAAGACTATGAAATACTCCATCACTGGTTTTCTACCGTTCTAGGCTTCTTCTAGAGTAACATCCTTTACAATTGTTCTTGGATATCTGTTCTGGATATGCACACACCATTTTACAACTTCTGGCTAGAAAACCTTGGGAACTTGCTTCTCACTTATTATAGAACGAACTACATTCATAATTGTTCTATTCTTCCTTTCAACCACACCATTTTGCTGAGGAGTGTAGGAGGTAGTTAACTTCTTCGTATGCCTTGTGTGTGATAGAATTCTTCATACTCATTGGAGAGAAACTCTCAACCTCGGTCTGTCCACAAGCACAATATGTGTGCATCTGCCTCCTTCTCAATCCGCGCCTTAAATTTCTTGAACTTTGCTAGTGCTTTTGATTTCTCATGCAAAAAATACACTCCATTTTCCTAGTA